TGCTGGCTTTCTTTATGGATGATGTCCTTGCTGTCATCCCACAACTCATCTGGTCTTCAGGCTTTAGCAGTCAACAGATCAAATCTATTCTTGAGATGGATTTTAAAATTCAGGTGACATTGTCTCTAGGCCATATTTTAAAAGTTGTACAAACAGAGCAAAAGGGAATATAGCATGATTTAAAATTCAGAAAAAATGTTCATCAAGGTTGTATCCTTTGTCCATACTTGTTCAGTTTGTAAGGGAGCTCTGATGGCCTAGTGGGGAAGGATTTGTGTTGACAACCCAACAACATGCCCAAAATATGTGGTCTTACTCTGGAAGCTCTGCTGAAACCAGGCCTCCTTGGGTGACCCTGCTGGTATTTGAAATACTTGTAGCACAGCTTCCAGCAACACAAAAGCCACTACAGCATGACAAACTGACAGGCGAGTGGTGGCGAGTGGTAGTAGCAGTCAAGAAATCCAAAGTGTTGCATTGGAGAAATCTGCTTTCAAGAACTGCTCCAAAATTTTAAAGAGCAAGGATGTCTGTTGAAAGATGAAGTTGTGCCTGATCCAGACCATGATATTTTGGGTTGCTTTCTATACATCTGAAGGTTGAACAGTGAATAAGGAAGGCCAAAGAAGAATTAATGCCTTTGAATTGTCGTATTGACAAAGGGTGCTGAGTATTCTGTGGGTTGCCAAAAGAACAGGCAGATTTGTCCTGGAGGAAGTGCACCGGATAGATGGTAAGAATTATGAACTCCATCTCACTCCTTTGAGCATAGGAGTCAGTCCTTGGAAAAATACAGCAAGCTGGAAAAAGAAGAAGCCCAGAGAAAAACAAGACCCTAAGGAGGAGGAGTGGACATGGTGATGATAACAATGGGCTGCAGTGTTTCTGAGATCCTGGGGAGGGTTCAGGATAGGGCAAGGCTCAGGAGTGTTATTCACAGGGTTGTGTGTCTCAGTCCACTGGAAGGCAGCTAACAGCAACACTGACTTAAAGACAACTTTCAGGAAGCCTGTTTTACAAAGGAAGGTTCAAAGATTATCTCCTTGGGCGATGGTGTGAACAGCTCATTTCACCCTCTGTCGGATCCAACACTCTGGATTCCATGAGAATGGAAAGTCCTTTCCCTACTTCTTGTATGTCCCTCAAACAGGACACTGACTGTCCTCATCCCATCTCGTCAATCCTCCTGGTTGCTTGGACTTGAGGAAGAGAATGGAAATGTGCTGCCCCTGGCACTCAGTTGTTAACACGCAGAGTGCCGCCCCCCAAAGGATTCCCACACTTCAGACAGGGGATTTTTAGACACATCACCTCTTGCAGCCTTCAGGAAAGCACTTGGCAAGCTACTCACAGAGCTGATTTCTAGACAAGATGGTTCTAGGCACCCAGAAGGGAGATTCAGTGGCTTAGTGGGTAAGGAGGTGCACTGTCGATGCACAGGCACATGGTTCGAATCCACCAGCTGCTCTGTGGTAGAAAGATGGGTAATCTCATCCTGTGTGATTTATAGTCTGTAAATCTGCTGTAGATGGATGGGTAGGTGTCAGCTATGAGTTGGTTTCAGCTTGAGGGTGCCTAACAACAGCATAGTCACACAGAGGTCACATCCTTTGCCAAGGTCACTTGAAGGTCTGAGGCTAAGCAGGCTGGCAGAGAAGAGGCCCTGGTCTGTCTCTGCAGCCGTTGCCCAATATTGGCCAGAACTTGGCCACGGGGTCCCCTGGGAACTATGAAACAGGACTGGGGTCAGCCCCTCCATGCTTCTTAGCCTTCTGCCAGGGTGACTGTTCCCCATCAGAGTTCAGGGACTGATTTTCATGGGATCACCAGGCCTAGCTTCCAAGGTCCACCTGGGTGGATTCAATTCTCTAGTATTTGGTTGGCAGCTATTTCTAAATGGAAATAATGCATTTAGGACAAAGCCTTGGTGTATATC